CTGAAACCGGTGGCATCTATAGGATTTTGACCTTAAAATAGACATTGCTTGCAAGAGAGGCAGTGCTAGAGTCACGATAACCTTTGTTGGTACGTTACCTAGGCTCAGACAAGCAAGGATGGAAATGGATTTGCTATGGCCCTGTCTGTAAGGGGGGTGGTTGTTGTTTAAAGATAATAATATTAGGAATGCAAATTATCCAACAAAAGCTGGCAATATTTAAATACGATTTAAATTCATTTGGCATTTAAACAGAGAAGTAGAAAATGGCATTACATTCAGATGAGGATGAGACTGCATTCTGGAGTCAGAAATGTTAAGTACATCTACAGAATGGAATAGAAGGTCTGGCTGGTAATGGATTGTGAAAAGAGTTCGGGGTTTTAATAGATCATTCCTTCAGATCATCAGCACGGTGAAGTGGTAGTTAATAAATTATTTGATGTGTACATTTACTCATACATTTTAACTAGCTGTAATGAACGGGTCCTGCCAGCTCACCTAGATCCTTGCAGGAGCTGCTAAATCGCTTGAGTGAGATTTAGTAACTCTCAGCAATATTGATGTCCTGAGCTGCAGGTAATAAATAAAGTGACATCAGGACTAGTTGGAACAGAACATTGTGTAAGACCTTTGTCAGGCTTGCAGCAGAGATGAAGCTGTTTGGCCCCAATGAACATCAGTAAGCTCTTCCCTGGGATTAGTTTTTGGTTGATGTGACCACCCCATGCCCTGGCACCTGCAATGGGACTCTTAAAGAACCCCTTGTCCCAGTTTGGGGTTCACTACAAAAATTTGTCCCCTACTGAGGTCTGTATACAGCCCGCAGGTGTGTGGTGCTCCTCGGGCTGCACACAGAGTAGAGGAGGAGGATAGTACAGTCTGACTGAGCTGTGGGGAGAGGAGAAGAATCCTCTTTCGGTGCTGTTATACTGGGACTATCCTAGTGCTGGAGTGGGGATTAAGGACAGAAAGAAGCTGTTCTTTTATCCTAGCTTATACTGGAAATGTTTATAACAGAAAAAGCCTGCCTGTTAAAATTATGCCCAATTTGACAGGCTATTAGGGGCACACCAGGCACCTTTCTTGTTATTCCTAGTTGTCCTCTGAACTTGGAGCTAGTTTAAACCTATACCCTTTCTCTTCCTCCTACTCACTTTCCCAGCATGTGGTGTACTTTATAATTTCTGGGGAGACTCATTAATTTCTTTTTTTCTTTCTCCTTTTTTCAGGTTTCTGACAGATGTGACTATGTCTTTGTCAATGGGAAGGAAATGAAAGGGAAAGTGAATGTCATAGTTAATTTTACTTACCAGCATCTGAGTGCCCCTTTAGAAATGACAGTCTGGGCTCCTCGTCTCCCACTGCAGATAGAGGTCTCTGACACAGAACTAAATCAGATCAAGGGGTGGAGAGTCCCCATCATCTCTAATAAGAGGTAGGTTTCATTAGAGGGTGTTCATTCTGGGCTGTGCACTTGCCAAAGACATGTCAGGGCCAGTGGATCTGAACATGCTCATTTGGCCTTAATGCAATTACAGTGGAAATTTGAAAGTCACCAGACATTTATTCAATAGGATCCTGCACTGGACTTGCAAAGGAAATGGAAACTGCAGGTTGCGTGATCCTACATTGGAAACCCATTTCCTTTTGGAGTGCTGCTCACTGAGATGGGAAGAGCCAACTGGCCAAGTTAGGCAGGATCAGCAAGGACAAGTTCTGGCAAGGCTGGTCAGTCTCCAGCCTGGTTCACCAGTCTTACCGGTTAATGTGTTCATTGTTAATGGTCACAGTTAGTATGGACTTGTTTTGAATCACTGTAGGGTCCAGTGGCACTGATCAGCATCCTGAAGTCAGGACCCTGATACCCCAGGGCTTTAAAGGTACTGTCCCTGCCCACCGGTCAGTGGCATGTGAATGACAGGACGGAGGATGGATATAGGCAGATCTAGACTGTTTGTATCTGTTGTCGGTGTTAATAAGATCAAGAACAAATTGTTAAGTAGGTACCTATGAAGACATAATTTATTACCAGGTTTCCGTTAGTATCACAGCAGAGATGGGGATTTTTGTGGAGATGCAATTTCAACCTGAATGCCATACAGAAAGGATGTGTATGTAGGTGCAGATGGAGATTTCCATGGCAACACAAAGATGTTTATGGGAAAATCCGTAAAGAAAAAAATGTGAAGGTTTTGAAAGTAAGGATTTAACATGGAAAATAATGAGAGATATTTGGAGAGGACAATGTGATAGTGAAGCCAGCAGGCTGGTGCTTTCAGCAGCTGTTGTGGAGATCTAGGCAGCCTGGCAGTCTCAGTTACGAACAAGGGAAACAGGAGAAAAACTGGGGGAACCTGACTGACTTCAGAAATGCTCTGAAGGAAGCAGCTTCAGCAGAGCAATGGAAGGGGACAAAGGCCCCTTATTCCAGCAACTGGCAAGACTTGTTAGCAATACTCTCCTGGCACTAGTTTAAGTTAATTTTTTATCCTTGGTTTCCTACCAGACCAGCCAGGGACAGTGACGATGAAGAGGAGGACGAACGCAAGGGAAGAGGCTGTGCCCTTCAGTACCAGCACGCGATGGTGCGAGTCCTCACGCAGTTTGTAGCTGAAGCCCCAGACCCTGGCGGCCAGCTGAGCTATTTACTGGGTTCGGACTGGCAGATTGACATCACCGACCTGGTGAGTGACTTCATGCAGGTGGAGGAGCCAAGGATCGCCAAGCTGCAGGACGGACAGGTTTTGATTGGGCTGGAGCTTGGAATGACGACGATTCAGGTACGGAAAATTAATGACATTCCTTTTCCTCCATTAACCCACCACCTTGGGAACTGAAGTGCTCATCAGGTGTATGGCAGCTTCTTGTATTAACAACAGCAATTGAAGCCATAAATTTCTGAATGGAGCAGAACTGCAGCAAGGGCTTGGAAGATACAGAAGAGATAATTTTCTCTTCTTATCTTGTGCCCTGAACTATGTAGTTTGCAGTTTTAGCAAATTTAGCCCAGCCTGTATACTTAGAGGCTGTTTCTGGTTATTTTTGTCTGAGGCTGGTTTTGAACCTGGAGCCAGCGTATGGGCTGTCACAAGCCATGCAGCTGGTGAAACAGCCCAGTCTTCTCAAAGCCTACATTGACAGGGCAAAGGGTAGAGTAAAAATTAACTAGTGTCCCCACTCTGAAGTAACTCACCTAAACCTATGCATTATGTCATTGGCAGCTTTTCACATTAAAGTTATTCCTGCTGTGCAGAGAAATGCTGGCCTAGAAAATGGGGTCCTAGAATAAAAGAGACAAAAAAAAAAATAAATCCTACGAAGTAGAAAACGTGGTAACAAGCACTGGAACAGGAAAAAAAAACCCTATCTCTCCAAACAGGATCATCATCCCAGACTGTCAAACCAGAAAATAACAACCACACCTGTCAATAACGCCTGTTGTCAGGGCTGGGGAAATGGGATTGAGATTTTTTGCTTTCTGCAATATATAAAAAGATTTTCTGAATTACCCTACAAAGCTCTGAGATTTACAATGCTCCTACAAATGCATGTAAAACTGTGGAAAGAAAAATCCAAGGGAAACAATCTGAGAGCGAGTTATATTTAAAGAATACCTCTTATAAACTGCTTCAGAAACGTTCAGTACCCTATACGGATCATTAAATTCAACTTGCTTGCTAATGAGCATCTTTGGATGTCATGTACCAGTGCACTGATTTCCGTGCACATTTTTTAACCAAAACAAGTTTTCTCTGTCAATTTTTTATACAGTACTAGGAGTGTTTATTATAGCAATAAATTAGCATTTCCCTCTATGGGATAGAAATAAATGTCATTTATTCTATGAATTTTATATAAATCTACAGATTGTATTATATATGTGCTACCTAAAAACATTATTATTAACAGAATAATTGCATTCCACGTAAAGATTACATTTACAAATAGTCCATCTGAAACAGATGGGGTTAGCATCTCGCAGAGGTGAATGGCATAGCTGATTAGAATTATGCTGGTAAAAGATGTTATAGGCACCCTATTATTGCAGAAGAGTTATAAAATGTGACTAGCCATTTTTTAATCATATTTTAATAGTGTCTGTCTGCTAAGAGTAATTCTGCCCATTAACAGAAATGTCACTTATCTCTAGGACATAGCTCTGTGTAGCTGTTTTGCTTGGTGCCCTGCAAACTGGCTGGTGCTAACTTTGATTTTCCTTTTCAGATACTGTCCCCCCTTTCGGATGCTATCTTGGCTGAGAAGACAGTGACAGTTCTGGATGAGAAGGTGACAATAACTGACCTGGGAGTGCAACTGGTGACTGGATTGTCGCTCTCTCTGCAGCTCAGCCCAGGAAGCAATAAGGCCATCTTTGCTACAGCAGTGGCACAGGAGCTGCTCCAGTCTCCAAAGCAGGTACCGTTGCCCACATGCACAGTGTTGTGGAAGGACACTGCTCTGATTCACTATACCAAACATTGCAAACTGACGGATAAACGTGGATTTTTTTTAATAATACAATGATACAATATTTTCCTTATGGGCACTTTTTTTCTGAAGGCTACCAGGTACCCTAACAGAAAAACAAAGATCTCTCAAAGTGACACTATGTCTGAACAACTCCAGTCAACAAACAGGCAAACTCCATCTGTTGGGGCTGCATCCCTAAATAACACATGCAACTCCATGATGTGCCATAATTAAGCAACAGCAGTTCCCTTACACACACACCTCCTTTCTGTCCCATCCAGCACCTACTAGATCACAGGAGATATTGCCAGCTAGATTGCCAAGTTCAGCCTCCCACCACAGGCAACCAAAGCCACCCTTTAAGTCCATCTTTAAATGAGAAAGTCTTTTACATAGTGCCAAACTCTTCTTTCTTTAGTTACTTTCTGTGAGCATTTTAAGAAGTTGGGGAGCATCCCTTTTGTTCTGATTCATTACTAGAATATGAATCAGCATCACTGACTCATTTCCTGATTCATGATTTCATAAATCAATATTTTTCCCTGTTATTCTTAGTCCCTGTATTACGGATTACTATTGCATCATGTTCCCTTTCTCTTCACTTAGATCTTCACAAGTTCCCTTTATACGATCAGTCTTACCATGTGCCTGAGGAGAATGGGAAAGTTTTCTCTCCACTACAGATTAGCTTTGTTGCCACCTTTGCTGTGGAGTTACTCCATGAGCAATAGGAGACTTTCCCTCTTCTGTCTTGTGGTGCTAGGAGAGGTTCAGTCAAACTTCACACTGCACGAGCTCTCACAGGTCTGAAATCCTTATTCTGAGCCATCCGTATGCTGTGACCGTCCCTGTGCAGAGTTACGAAGGGCTTTTGGACTTTGCCATGTCCTCATCAGTTCCTGCTTGATATTTGTCCTTGTGCTTCTGTCCACGTTTGAAATTTAAACTCTTTTTTCAACCTGAATCCATCAGTCTGGGACTTATATCAAGGTTGCACTGGGCTCTTAACGCTTAAACATGTTCTGAGCTTTAAAGGTGAATGATCGTGGAATGCATGTTTGAAATCTGGCCAAGGGTTGAGACACCTTAAATCATCGTAGGGTCTTACCCTTGGGATGCAGGATGAGCAATAATGCAGAACTGCTGTCTTTATAGGGTGGTAAAAGTCATGCTCCCATAGTATTCCAAGAGTTAAGAAATTGATGCCAGGCAGCTAGAAATAAGGCCAGTGAGCTAATCCATTGCCAACATGGGGAGTTAAACAAACTACCTTGAAATCAGCCCAAAAGCTAGGCTTGATGGCATTTAGTCCCAGTATGCTGCCCAGCACTGACATTTCAGTTCCCAGAATTGGAGTCTCCCTCTCTGGATGCAGGGTACAGTCAAAACAACGTCAGATGGGTATTAAACCAGCGAGGGAGATTCGCAGCCTCCACCCTTCAAAGGATTGACTCAAGGCATCTGATTCCTTCCGTTTCTTAGCACACAATTTTCAGAGCACAATCCCTACAAGCAAAGCAAGGCAAAATTATGAAATGATTATGCAGGTTTAGGCAACACAGTGGGAGGATGAGAGTCGATGACATAAATTCTATGCGGCCTTCAAGAAATATCCGAAGATTAATAAACACAAAGGGATTTATGACAGTGTCAGCAAAGTCTTAGGGCTCTGTCCTGAAACGGAGACAGAAGCAAATCTCCCATTGAAGCACGGGGAGCTTTGTGGCTGGAAGGATTTCGGAATCAGGCCAGCAGATTAGGCACGATACAATCCCAAAAGACTGGAGGCTTATTCTCTGTGATCTGAACAGGTGAATTGCTCTGTGCCAGAAACAATTTAAAAGATAATGATAAATATTTATTCTCTGTATGTATGTTGGGTTAGAATGCAAGTACAGTCTGTTTGAAAAACTGCTTATTTAAAGAAAGAAGACTTTTATATTGATGCTTTCAGCAAGTGCGGTTATTAATCTGTCAGTTGGGTGTTTGTCTGTCTGTCAGGCTCTCCCTCAGAGCAGGGTGATCCCAGCTCTCACCAGACAAGAGCTCACGTCATTTCAGACACCAAAGAATTCACTCATCGAGCTGGGAGTCCTTCTGGTGTGGATTCTCCAGTGTCTAATAATGTGCGAATTTCCCAGCTGACACAGAGCAAGTCGGACCATCAGAAGCAGGAATTAGCTTGCAGGAGAGCAATCTGAATTCTGTCTGTAAATGATTCAGGTGTGAATGCCAAGATTTTTACAGGTAGCATGGTGATTTTCAGTAGCAATTTGCGAGTCCCCAGAGGACTTGATTTTCAGAAATGGATGAGCACACATTTTCTGAAGTCCAAGAATACTTTAAAAAAAGAAACCAAAAGTCAAGGTTCCCAGGAATGCGGCACCATTACACCTGTGCAAGTACAGGATTAGTACTGGGGTCTGACCCATTTACATTCAGTAAGCCTCCGTGCACTCTGAAGTATGCAATCTGCATTGCTGTGACACGGGATTAAACTTCATTATTGTCTTGCTTTTAATTGCTAACAAGCATGAAAATTACCCTGGCTATTTCCTAAAGAAGCAACTGATTGGTTTCCTCTGCTTGTATAAAGCACTTATTTAATTTGAGAGACAAAAATCAAGGGCTGAAGGTATGCAGCCATGTGTGGACCTGCTTGCTATATTAGGTATTTTTTAACGTGTGTTGTGTGTAACAAGAGGAGACTTTGTATTTTAAGCAGTTTAGAAATAATGTAATTTTTTTTTTCATTTAAATATACAATAGTAAATTATCTCAGTCACTGCTAATGCTTTCTGACATGCAATTTATTATGGTGCTGAAGTAGATTCTGCAGAGCCCAGGGTATACAGCTCCTTTAAGCACCTTTAGGGAAACAAATCTTATTACCAATGAGTGTTTCAAACTAGTATTTCTCTTCACATCTTGGCACTATATTAATTTTATTGCTCTCCCTTTTTATTTCTTTTCTGGTTATAAATGGTATATGGATCTTGTGAGGAGGAGGAAATAGACCAGGACAGAACATATTTCCCTCGATGTTTATTCTGAGGGTGCGTATATTTGTTTTATATATTATAGGAAGCAGCCATCAGCTGCTGGATCCAGTTCAGTGATGGATCTGTCATGCCCCTGGATATTTATGACTCCAAAGACTTCTCCTTGTCAGCTACATCTCTGGATGAGAAGGTGGTCTCGGTTCACCATGACCCCAAATTCAAGTGGCCTGTGATTGTTGCTGAGACGGAAGGCCAGGGGACGCTGGTGAAGGTGGAGATGGTGATCAGTGAATCATGCCAGAAATCCAAAAGAAAGAGCATCCTAGCTGTTGGAAGTGGCAGCATTAAAGTCAAGTTTGGGCAGAGTGATGCCAACCCTAACATCAGTGACAGTAAACACAGAGGTGTCCACCTAGAAAATCATGCCAGTGACCGGCGTCAGAAAACCACTTTCCAGGAGAGAGCTGGGCTGGATGGCCAGTATTACAGCTCCTCCATGGGCTACGAGCAAGGCAAAGGGACCACTACTCAAAGGTCTATTTTAAGTAAAAAAGAAGACAGAGAAAGCCTCCTGGATGATGACAGCCATCTGCAGAACATCCCAATCGACTTCACGAGCTTCCCTGCACAGGTGGATCTGCCAAGAGACAACGGAGACTTGGAAGAGAATGACCTAGTCCAGTCCCCTCGGGGGCTCAGTGACCTGGAGATCGGAATGTATGCGCTTCTGGGAGTCTTCTGCCTGGCAATTCTGGTCTTCCTTATCAACTGTGTCACTTTTGCTTTGAAGTACAGAAACAAACAAGTTCCCTTTGAGGAACAAGAAGGCATGAGCCACTCTCATGACTGGGTTGGGCTGAGCAACAGGACAGAACTTCTGGAGAATCACATAAATTTCTCATCCCAACAAGATGAACGTATCACAGCCATTGACAGAGGAGTGGACTATGAAGAGAGCAAATATCTCCTCAACACAAATGCCGCCAAAAATATTAATGGACAATCTTTCAGGTCTACTGAGTCCACATTCACTGAAGGGAAAGAACAGAAAAGTGAACCAACTACTTCTCCTACCTCTAAGAGGAAACGGGTTAAATTCACCACCTTTACCACCATCTCCTCTGATGATGGGTGTCCAACTGTCAACTCAATCTTGATGAGTAGTGAGGATGACATTAAATGGGTCTGCCAGGATATGGACCTGGGGGAGTGCAAAGAACTGAAAAACTATATGGAGAGATTACATGAAAATGCGTAGTGAGACACAGAAGACTTTTTTGTTTGGTTTGTTTGTTCGTTTGTTTTTCACTCACCTTCTGCCTTTAATTTTGGGTAGTGGGGCAAAATGTTGTATCGATAACAACAATCAGCTGGTGGATTATAACTCAACGGAGCCCCAAGAAGCCACCCAAAACCAGCTGGGAGAGCAGAGATCCTGGACAGCTCTTAAAATTCAAGTCTTCTCTGTGCTCAGAGGTGGAAGTGAGAGATGTGTGTGGTTTTTTGATGCATGGTAACATGAAAAAAAAAACCTTAGGAAAATAATACAATCTCATTCTCTGAGCTTTCCCAGGAAATCAATAAATATAACAAACTCCAGTGCAGTTTGGATATTACAAAGATCGCACAGCTCTACTGTTCAATACCACAAGCTTTGGTTAAAAGCAAAAAATTGGTCTCAGAATAAATAGATCCACGAAGAGAGCATGTCATTCAAGCCACATGCAGAGAATATCCATCCAAGAACATTAATTTAAAGCTGACAAAAACCAACAGTGTGAGCAAAGCAGCTCCTAGAGCTGAAAAGTCATGAGTTTCCAAAGAATCTGGAAGGGGGAAAAGGAGTAACTGGGCTGTTTACAAACCAGCATGTTTGCCTCCCAAGCACTGAGAATGGATACACATATACAGTTAAAACTGAAACTCTCTTTTTAAGTAGATGCCAAGGTAATAAACTTTGCAAGCCAATTTTCAGTATTTCTTAATTTGTAAAATAGGAGAAGATATAATCTATAGTCAGAATATCACTCAGATAAAGGAAGGTCTGTTTTGGAAAGTTTGAGAGAACAAGCTATTTTTAAAAGCCCACTTTCTTTGATTGTCCTGTTTCAAATTTGTATTCCCAGCCATATCCCTGGAGCACTCCCCATCTGGTATCCTGAGGGCACTTTCTAGCATCAGTCAACTTTGGAAGCTTGTGGTTTCCTCCTTCCCTTCCATGCACACTGGCTTCTCAACAGTGTGCTCCTGCCAAGCACAGACGCTGTTGGTACCGCGCTGGTACTTGCTTTACATGCTGTCATTTACCAAAGCTGGCCACTCTCTCCTGGGTAAGTGTAATTTGTGCTGAACTCAGCCACCAACAGCAACTGCTTCTTTGTCCGTCCTCTTCCCTGGGAGAGGTCTAGTTGTTCAGTTCCTCTTCTCATGCTTCTTCAGACCCCTTCTCAGCACGTTTAGAGGGCACTCGCAGGTCACGGAGGAGTGCTGCACATTGAATATCGAAACCTGAACAGCTAAACTCCATAGATAACATTTGTTCCTCCCAGAGGTGATGATTATCTTTTGTTTTCCTCTGATAAGGATGTACATATGGTAGGATCTCAGTGATTACCCTTTGAATCCAATGTGCCCTCTAGCCCTAAAACCATGAGATTTTTTTGTGAGGTCCAAAAGCAGTCTCCAGTGACCACTGGCAAAGTGCCAAAACACTAACTAAAATCCAGCTTATATTTCAAGTTTCCTTTTATTTTCCAGAGTGAGTCCTTGCCCTCCTTTTATTATTAAGTCTCTTTCTGTCATTGAATCTAGGTTGCTCAGTTTAATACACACCCGCCCTCCCACAAACACTTAGATTGGATCCCTCTATATTTAGAATGTACTGTAGATTGTAAGAATGTAATATATATATTTATAAACATGCAAACTGTGAATAAAATTTGCATTTTAGTGACTTCATCTTCTTTCCTGAACGCCTCTCTCCTTTCACTGTCAGAATGTTTACCCCAATGTGGAGACTTGTCCTTTGATGAAATGGTGAATTAAGGCTCTTGGCACAATCTAGGCACAAAGTTTTACATTGTGCAATATTTTGGGGAGAAGATATAACATCAACAACATGTCATGCTACAAATGTATTTGCACCGAGTCACCCTTCCAAGATTTGAAACTCTTTGCAAATAAATCCACATGCCTATTTCTAGCCTGCAAGCCTGATATGTGACTTTCTGCTTTTGGTGCAATTGGGAAGATCCATATTTGGCTAAATGCCTTTGAGGACAATTCTGAAAGAGTAAGTTGGTGTAAATAGGGCAAATGTGCCCAAGACTCTGGAGATCAATACTTGCATATCTCTTGGTCTTTGCTTTCTTTCAGCACCTCTCACCAAGGCCTGGATTACTGAGTCCTATGCAAGGACGAAGTGCAGCAGTGAGGACAGCACAGTGCAGGGCCAGACTAGCTCCGGATGAGCGCTCAGGTGAGGGAAGAAGCTTTGGTGCCATAACGAAGCACTACAGCCTCCCAGCAGGTTAAAGCCTGCTTCCTTGCCTCCAATCCTGGAGCTATTTTGGGTGCTTTTTACACATCACTGTACTGTGTCCAGAGGGACATTACCCTTAGAAATGCGGAGGTCAGGGTAAAAATGGCCAAATCCCAGCCCGTGCAGATCAGATGTGTGCACGCATGCAAAGATGCCTTGGAAAAGCATCACTGGATGGCCATTCTCTCTCCTTCAGAAGGAGCAGGTACAAGCTGTGCTGGGAGCAGGCTGTCAGAACTGCTTTACTGATGAGCTGCCGTGGTAAATCCAGATTTCTGCATTAGCTGCCTCTGAACGTGAAGAACTAACAGCACGTTCATCTGGTAGCACAAACCGCTGAAATGTTCTCCTAGGAGAAAACAGCCGCCAGCTACAATGCTAGGGACGCTGACATCCAGATTTATGCCTTTCTGCTTGCTCAGAGGTCCCTGCTGTCTCCAACAGCTGTAGCTTGCTATTATCCATAGGGCAATACTATAAATAATACCCAGTATTTAGAGTGCTCTTTGTCCATAGATCTCAAAGTGCTCTGAGCAAGGTGGATTCCTTATTGACATGGAGAACACCAAGGTTAAGTGATTTGCCCAAAGCAACGTAGGAAATCTATGGCAAAACCAGAAAGAGACATCACTTCCCCCCACTCCCTTTAATGTCCCACAGTCACGGAGCAGGATCCTGAGCTCTGCTCCAGGGGAGGCCAGAGTGGATTGTGGTCAACCATATGCAAGCAACCACTCTTAATTAATCTGCTAATGGCAGAATAAATCAACTTCCTATAAAGATTTTTGTATGTATATATGTATCTGTCTGTTGGGGGTGGGAGGGGGTGTTTGCACTTATCCACTTCTCTCACAGCACAGGGTCCAGACTTTTAGGTGAGAGCATCTGCACCATAGAACAGCTCAAAGGGGAAAGCTTGTGCTTCAGGCAATCAGACGAGAATCCCTTTTGGCCAATGAAGGGGGCTACATTCTGTTCCCCATCATAAAAGCAGGGATGGTGTTTAGATGCTGCATTTTGCAGCTGTGGCTCCCATTGACAGTCTCTTGAGCCTGATAAAGAGCCCTGCTGACAGCAAGCAGGCTCCTGTGAGTGTTATTTATTAATTACTTTTTTTTTTTTCCAGTTGCCTCCTTATTTTCATGTTTGAGTCTCTTTTCATGTGAGTAGCTGGACTGATAGACTGATATGGGCACGTTAACAAAAGAAAATGTCTGATGCAGTTTGGCTTTTTTAGACACTTTATGCATAAATACAATGAGTAGAAACTTGATTGTCCTATAAATTAGGAAAGCTGGTTCTTTACTGTCTGTCTTCATTTTAAAGGCTTCCCCATCATCAGTCTTAAATATATAGTGGTTTAGACCAAGCTGCATTAATACACCAGTGGATTCAAAGTCTGAGCAATACAGCTCAATAATTGGTTTGGAACAGGAGCTCTATGGAGGTAAGTGACTTGAAAAAACAGAATAGGTATTAAATGGATGTGCAGCCTGCGCTAAGTAGCTCTAGAAACTACTTTCACACCTCGTTTCCATAATGAATGAGATGTAAATGAAATGAGCACACTGGAGACACGTTAGTTCGGCTCTGTGTATGTTCAGCTTCTCCAAGGCTGCCTGCTCTCGTTCCCCTGTGGTCTGTGAGGCTGCTGCTTTGTGGAAGATTCTTAGCGAGAGTTAAAGGACTCGTGTAGTACAACTTGGAAGAGTCTTCCCCATGTGTCACTTAGGAGAGAGTGTTGGTTGGACTCACGTATGTATTGATCAAGGGAAGTCCAGTAAGACTCACTGAGGAATTAACTCAGGCAAGGAGCTATCGCTGCCAAATGTTGTGTTTAGAAGATGCCTCAAGCATTTAAAAAAAACTCCAGGGATTAATTTATTGCCAGCCTGAGCCCCCTATGCAGAGGGAGCAGGACTAACCTTTCTTCACTGGCCCCAGGATGAGCTGCCTCCTGGGAGCAAGTAGGAGACCCAGAGAGCTCTAAAACAAGTTAGGATATCACTTGCAAAGTGCTGAGGAGATAGGATTTGTTTCGAGTTTATTTCTCGCTGGTTGAAAACTCACAGCAGGGGCTGTTACACACCCCTTAGCACCAGGCATGTGTTTGAGCACCTTTCTGAGCGGGTGTTTGGTCTCCAACAGCCACCATCTTCCTCATCCTTAAATAATGCCTCTGTCCTGTGAAATTAGTGATTATTGTTGTGCTGTTTGGCTTCTTGGTGAAAGGTTTAATAGGTGAAAAGCAGCAGCAATATGGGCCTGAGCAGAGCGCCTGGTGCATTGTGCCCGTAGTCGGGAGCGCTGGAAGGACCAAGGTTGCGTGAGTCGAGCGAGTGTGCCTGGGACGGGATCATTTTCTACCTTTTTGCTGATTTGATATGAAGACCTCTGTCAACAAATCCTTCATTATGCAGGCTTCCTGCTCTGGCTCTGTGAGGAGCAGCAAATTAAGCAGCCCACGTATGTAATATTAATGGCTGGAGAAGCAGCACTGCCTCTCTGTTTGTATGTACTGCCAATGCTCATTAAGAAATCCCTGTCACGTAGTAAAGATGGCTGGGAGATTACAGACGACAAGTTCCTGCATCTCTCTCCTTAAAGCAGCCCCCAGAGCCTGGAGGGACACACTCATACTGAACCACGTTTGTTTGCACTGTCTACCAGAACTCGCTTCTTGTTTCGGTGGGTGCACATCAGATCTCTGGTTTCAT